GTATGTACGTGTTGTATGTATGAATCATACCCACGGTCTGATATCCTACGGACAACACCTGGTGGTCCATATCATTTTTTTACCACCAGTGGTACTAGTAGTAGCAGCAGTAATCATCTACTAGTAGTAGCTATTTCAACCACATTTTGATTGCACAAAAGGCATCAGTGAATGCCTTCTTGCCTCCTCTTCCTCAGGTTATTATTTTACTGCTGCTACTATAACTTGTTGTGACTGAAGCTCTTCCTTGTTGTTGTTCTTGTTGTTCATTGTTACTAGTATTATTATTGGTATTGCAAGGAACATTGTATCACCATTGGTTGTACACCAAAACAATTTGGTGCTCATATTAGTAGTGCTATTAGTACCACTATCAGGGGCAAAACTTTCTGAATTGAGAAGATGTGAATATGGTTAACATACTGCTACTGCTACAAGTAGTAGTTGTTGTACTAAATATCAAATGCGAGGAGGACAAGCCAAGCACAGCAGTGTAGCGGTCCGTCAAAGGGACAGAAGCATCACCACATAAAATGCATACCAAGACGAGAAGGAGGCTAGTTCTCAGAGGACCAAAGGCACAGGCAGGTACATGCATCGTAAATTAAAAATCGCATCAATTGAATTGCTATTGTACAAAATTTACACTAATCTTTATTTTGTTCTTTTCACATCACCATGTGATTCATGAAAAAGCCAAGATTTCGGGCAAACCTTTTCGCATCTTGGATTTCGGATCCGGCATAAAACGAACCGTTTTCCAGATCGACTTTTAACACTCCAAGGACGACGTCACTCTTGCTGTTGGTGCTGGTATTATTCTTGTTGGTGTCAGCCAAAATTGGAACGTAAATGGTGTTGGCAAAGACAACAACTCGTTTTTCCGTTGCAGCTTGTATCACAGCTGAATCTTTCTTACCATCAATGTTGTTGTTTTCTCTCGAAAAATAATCGACGGTGGCTGTGATGTAGCTATTTCCGTCCAGGTCATCGGGGCTAGTTCGTGGCGACTTTGGAATGCATGCGCCCATCGATTCGTCGACATATAATTTGCAGGAGGCACAGCGATTGCGCCATTTTTCGTCTCTTGTCATCACATCATTCATCACCTGCTGCAATCTGCAAAGCTGGTCTTTCATCTGCTCTTGTCGGTTTTCAGACAGGGGCGAAAGAGGTGTCGAGGACCCACTCTTCTCCATAGTAATCGCAGCAGTGGCCTCACGTTCCGGAGTGATGTAAAGAGCGGTCGCTCCCATCGTACACCCCAAAATAACGCCTGCAACAGCTCCCCAAAGTCTCAGACGCCCAACTATGGCTGATTTTTGCTGCATAGCCGTCAATTGCACAGGAGAAATCCGCAAAATTCGTGACAATGTATCACCGAAAACCACCCCAGAAACATCCGACACGACCTGGCCCATGGCAGCAGCCGTCATGGTCGCCAAGCCCAAGTGCACGCCTAGGCTATTATCAATCGCAGACCCCACTGTAATCATGACAAAATTGTCCATAAAACCAAACCCTACCATGGGAATCGCCGAAGAGAGAACAATTGATCGAACCTGCTGCTTCGTGAGTTTTTCAAACACATGCTGGGGGACTGGCGAAGCGGGACGGCTCGTATACGTTGAAAAAGGTCTCCTGGTGAAAAGAAGCTTTGATGGTTGTCTGCAAACGTAGATGAAGTTGGAAAAGTGCGAAGTCAAAGCCGATGATGATTTACGTGTTGGTAAAGGCACCATCGACGTCGAAAATCGGCTACGTGTCGCTCTGATATTCGGGACGGAAGAAAATATCACTCGGTGCATCGTGTTCTGCGAGTTTCTACCGTTTCGGCGCTGTTAGAAGAAGACCTTGAGAGAGATACTTTTAGTGACATTCGAAAATGGGCTAGTATGAAAAATAAGTGCCAACTGCGTTTTTTCTCTTTGAATGAATCGCTCCTAGCTGAGTCTTTCCGGTACATCATACAGTAATCATCATCTAGCAGGGTCGAGAATTTCTTCGATTTCAAGCAAAGAAAGTCTGAATGAAACGGGACCAAAACCGCCGTTGGGTTCTTCAGTGACAACTGAAACCCGTTCATTTTAAGAATTTTGAAGCGCTAGAGCACGAGTACGGTACAGTACGTACTCGTAGTCGTACTCGTACGTACTCGTTAAAAAAAATATCACCTACCGTGTGATTGATCTGATTGGCCTGATACCTCTGGATGATTCGAAAAAGAAGCCATTGGGCGATGGTGACACGACTGAGCGAAAGAAATACAGATGGTGGCGAAAAAGGAAAATTCAACTTCCATACCGGTAGTAGCAGTCATAAGTTTTTGTTTCTTGATTTAKTGGACGTACCAGTTAATTCGATAAAATGTGTAACCACGCCCCAAAGGGCAAAAAGGCATTCTACTCAAACACCAAAAATTAGAAGTATTACTAGTGAAATTGTGAGGTTAATTTTGAAGCCCAGTATGTAGTACTGGATCCTACATAGATCTACTAGTTTTCGGTCACTTTTTTTAGTATGCAAACAGGAGTGTAATAGGACATTTAGAAATGCTCTGATATGGCCTTTGACTTGTGCAACTTGGCAAGAACAAAAACTTCTTACTAAATTGAATGGAAGAAGGAGCATCATCATGTTGTAACCCATTTTGCCATCTGCTTCTTTAAAGACAAGGTCTTAATTTTGGCTTTGTTAAAGAACACAGGCAGTACGAGCAGAAGCTTAGGGGGATAGTGTAGTAGTAATTTCTCTGTTTCCAGTCTTGTGACAATGAGAAATGCTGTTGAATATCTTCACCTTGAAACCAGCATTTGAAGAGTGGGCTGACTATCTGTTATTTTGTGTTTTGAAGATTCATCCATCAGTTGTGCTTCTTGGAGCAAGTTGTCACCCCTTGGATCAACTACTAGGAGCATCCTTCCCCATAAAAGTATTGGTTATGGCCTTCTTCCTACTAGTAGTACTAGTAGTAGTGCCACTTTTACTAACTTGCAAGGTCAACCATAAGGTTTAATTTTTTAAGTAATGCCTTTAGCAGTCTAGTTTATATAAATTTGTGAGTATTTTGTACTGCACTAATTTAAAGCTAATTACATCATATATAATGGTTGTGGCCAGCCAATGTACGGTTTAAACCTTGGATTCGTGGCCATCTTTTTCCCGTGTAATGACTCATGGGATTAAAAATTGGCTTGTAGTACTGCAGTGTACAGCGGGCACATGCTGAATTTTTGAATCCCACATTCATGCGACCAAATAGTTTTGCGCACGTGCAAAATAGTTTCGCGCACGTGCAAAATAGTATTTTGCTTTACCGTTGTGGGACTCAAATCCGTTGAGTCGAAGCAGCCTTAACACGGTAATTAGATGGCCGCTAATCCACGCACATGTATAATTTAACCGTATAACTGTTTTAGTCCCGAACTGACAGTTTGGGCAATAACTTTTTCCCCAACGGACGCTTAAGTATGATAAGCACATGGTTGAAAAGAGAATTCAAAGAGCTTTCTAATGGCGTKGGGGAGTACGGCGTACGACGAATATTGACTGATATACGTTTACGAATATATTGAATTGCGAATGTACGGTTATAACCGTCTTTTTTTGCTTGGCCCAGCCTATATCATATCTTTAATTGCTAATGTACGGTTTAACCCGTCTTTTTTTGCTTGGCCCAGCCTATACGATAAGTAGTCAAAATTGACTCATGTTGCTGAAGCAGCTGATGTTGTGGCAGATCTAGTATTAGCTTTGAGCACTTTGTGTACATTGCACTAGTAAGCAGCACTGTGTGGTGTAGAGCTGTGTGGATAGTATTGTGCTAGGATCTGGCTCATCACTACTAGTAGTATATAGAGAGAGGTGGTGACAGTTGAGTGGCTACTACTACTAGTACATTCCCGTCCCAATGCTTATTCATAGTAATAGTAGATCAAGTGCTGCGTGTTATTAGCAAGAAGAAGTAGTAACATCATGTCACTTACAACTGGTGAAGCTCTATTACTCCTACTACTAGTGCTACTATCACTGCTGGCACTCTTAGAGATTTCAGTACTAGTAGTAAGCAAAATCCAACAGAAGCTTGAACAAGTATTTAAGTATTAGCTAGTAGCACAACTGCTAGCACTAGTAGTAACAATACCAGATTCTTCACCAGCAGTAGTAGCACCAAAACAAACAGTATAGTAACAACATGGTGGAAGAGGTGGAACAACAAGCATACTACTAGTATGAGCACCTTCTTGTTTTACTATCAGTACTAGTATTACTACTACTCTACTTGGTGGTGTGAATTTGACCATAATTTGAATTATCTACAGAGTAAAACACACATTATTTTGTGCGTGACTCAAGAGTAGAATTTAGTGGCTCTTATTACTAGTACTACTAGGAGTACTACTACTATGTAGATGGGAAAGGAAATCTACAACTACCACTAGTAGTAGTATTCTTTTCAGCAGTGGTTTACTGATCTTGATCTTCACTCCAGCTCTTACTCCCCACTTGTGTTGGGAGGCTATCTCATGGAATTCTTTTCTTACCTCCTATATATCATTGTGGGAACAGCAAAATAAAGATCTCCATGGCTACACGTTTTCTCAGCAGCAAGCAAAGCATCGACAGCGGGTGGTGACAAAAGTCCGCACTCTGTTTGAACTGAAATCACAGGCCTGTCCATCCCACGCTCACCTAGTATTCCCAGAGGATATGGAAGCCTTCTTATCAACTGCACCTACTTCCATGCTAACATATTATCATCGAGTCTACAAGAAGACAATTCTGGCAAGTGTTAATCAAGCCTCGAGTGCTTTGGTCTCCAACACTCACCCTATTACCCAGTACTTTACACCAATGCCTTATGATGATAGTAGTAGTAAACAACCACCGGAGAGTGTCACACAAGATTCACTGGTCTTTGACGCCTACTCCAAAAAGAAGCGACACAAACAACCTGTTGTGCCATATACTTCTTTGGCTCCTCCTGTCAATTCTTCCAGTTTACTTCAAACCAACAAGCTCAGTCAATTCTTTTAATTCCAGTGAAACAAACCCCTGGTCGCACTTCCACTAAATCTCCTCGGAGGGAAGTGCCGCCCCTCGGAGCAGCTAGAAGCATTCTTTCCAACAAAAGATATGGTTCTGGCCATATAGCGCCTCTTCTAGCTCAGGAGGTTAAAAATAATATTAAGATTTTTTTTAGTATTCTTTTCAGTTCTATTCATTTTGTTCAGAAGAAGTATTTGATAGTGACGAGGACACGGCAAATTTTCTACGGAAGCTAATAAGCCATGTCTTGTAGAGTATGCATCACGACGTAGCGTACTTGTTCGTACGTACCGTACGGTACGGTAGGAAAATTTCGAATTGTTTGATCGTACCGGTAGCAGAACACAACGCGAACGTTGGGTCAAGACTCTCCCATTGCAAGGAAAAACAAAATCAGTGACAGTACGAAGAAGGACAAGATGATGAACACTGATAACGACGAAACCACCATTATCAAATTAAAGTCCATGCCCGACGAGGAGGGGAACGTCGATGTTTTTGAAATTTCTATGGCGGCCGCGAAGATTTCCGAGCTGGTTCGGGACTCCTTTCCTGAAGACGAAGACGAGGAATACTCAGATGACGTATTGGAGATATCACGAGTCAAGGGTCCATGCCTTGCCAAGGTTGTAGACTTTATGAAGCACCACCACGAATCTCCAATGAAGGAAATCCCTACTCCTCTCGGAGGATCCTCATTCAACGATGTAAGTTCATAGAGCTGGTTTGGTCTTGTTTCTCAAGTTTGATTCGTCACCGATTCTTGCTTTGATTTCTTTGCTTTTTCTTATTATCCTTCCCTGATGGTAACCGAAAACTGAATGATCGAATCATTTTGCAACGTCTTATTTGTTTGATATTTACGGTCCGAAAAATTGAATCCGATATAACAGGTCATGGACCAAGAATGGTACCAGAACTTTGTCAGCGAGGAGAACTTGGGAGGGGACAACACAATGCTTTTCGATTTGTTGACGGCTGCTAACTTCATGGGGATAAAGGAACTTTTGGACCTCAGTTGCTTGAAAGTGACCTTTCAGTTGACCGGGAAGTCAGCAGATGACATCCGCAAAATCCTGCGCCTCCCCGAACTCACACCGGAAGAAGAAGCTCAGGCCCGCACAGAACACAAGTGGATCTTTGAAGATTCGTAAAAACAAAATCGAGCTTGCGATATCGAAAACAGTCATGTAACAAACGAGCCTGACGGAAGAATGGGAAGGAATAAAGTGAAATGAAATAAAACAGAAGTGAAATCGGATTCGGCGAACGGACCTGTAGAATGGAATGATTCCGACTGTGAAGTATGATGTAGAAAAAGCACTATGGACGGAAAGCAAAATAAAGAATACAATACATGATATCTATGCGGCATGATACTTTCGATTGGTTTTCAAAATACGGAAGAAGCAGCAACGATTTAGTTTCTTTGGAGGCCATGATAGGGATATTGGTGCCACTCGAGCATCATCTTGAAGTGGGGTGCAAACGTGTGGTGATGTGGCAAATACAATGCAAAACTCATACAGTAACAAAAAGCAAGACTTCATTCTTTATTTGAAATACCTCTTTTCATTGCTCTTAATCTCAAGGTAAATTTGTTGAGGACCCACCTTGTAGATACAGAAGCTCCTGCGAGAACAATTATGTTATGCATCTTGTAGAAGATTTCGCGTCACTCAGCTCTACTGGTTCTGCCATACATATTCTCGGCCACAATGTTAGATCTGACAGTATTAAGTGAAAAATAGAAAGACTAAATGATCAAAAGTAGACATGAATAGAAAAAGTATTAAGTTCTGAATCCTCTCAGCGACAACAGAGACCATGGGACAAATTGTATCAAAAAATATACACA